CCTTTTCACCTGCATTGTGAGATATGACAAGAAGATGGTGTTTTACAAAGCTGAGTGGTCCCTCATCAGACATGGAAGCTATGGGCACCTGGGCCTTGGATTTCCAAATCTCCAGAACTATGAGCGATAAATATTTCCAGTATAAGCAGCATTGTCTGAGACATTCTGGTATAACAAGTGCAGACTAAGACTACCAGGGAAGGCATGAAGAAGCTAAATTGCTCAAATATCCAGAAGGCTAGATACCACTGTCTCTCGCCTTCCTCCTCTAGCTCATCGCCGGCACTTTGGTAGCTTTGGTGGGGACCCACAGAATCAGACTGAGGTTTTAATCCATCTGCCTTTGGTGGGGACTGTAAGGATCCTCTCTGTGTTTCCTTCACAACCTTCCCTTCATCCTCTTTTTGGGGAACGATGTTAGTTGATTAGAAAGTAGCAGCTTCCAGCATGCCCTGGCTCCCTCAAGCCTTAGCCCCAAGACCAGACCTTCACATCAGTGAGTCAGCAAATCTCCTGCAAGGCCAAGCTGTAACTAACTTCTCAGTCACCCAGTCACTAGGCACCAGAAGCCCTCGGAGCTTCTGAGTGTGTGTAGGTGCTTACTGCAAAAATCTGTCAATGTGGGGAAGTTTCAGGAGAGCTAATTAAGTCCCTGTCAGCACGAGTCAGTGAAAGGGAGCCCTGGCAGGCCCCAGCAACTCCATGGTGAGTCATTGCCTTAAGCGAGAGTAGGAATCTGAATGCAGAATTACCTGGAGCTGCTCATTAGCCAGACATCTCTCCCTGAGGTAAAAGCTAAAGTGCAGGGCTGGGGGCAGAGCTCAGTGGTGGAAGCCTTGCTCGGCTTGCATGTGCACAGCCCTGGGTTCCACCCTCAACTCTGCAAAACCCTGAGAGAGCTCAGGAGGGAGGCTCACCAAGTTCTTCCTGAGGCCTGTGGGAAGACCACTGTCCTAACGTGCTTGTTCATTCATCAAGAAGTTTCTGACAGAAGTTTGAGGTGTAAAGAGTATAGCTAAACACAGTCCAGTTGGGAAGGGTTCAAAGTAGAAAGTGGTATTGTAGGAGAAAATGCCAATTGAGTGTGTAGATATCCCATGGCTCTGTATAACAGCCATGTGATATCTGTTTAAAGAACAGTCTTTTCCTAAAAGGATTTCATTCAGCACAGAGGCATGAAAACACAGGTATGGGGTTAAGACTCAGATTCTAACAGACACTCACATGGACCATTGGATGCACTAGGACTCTGCATGAATTGTTCCACAAAACCACCTACCCATCCTTGTGAAAGACAAACAGGTGTTTCCTAACGCCCTCCATTCAGATTTTTTTTTTGATTTTTCAAGACAGGGTTTTTCTGTGTAGCTTTGCGCCTTGCGCCTTTCCTGGGACTCACTTGGTAGCCCAGGCTGGCCTCGAACTCACAGAGATCCACCTGCCTCTGCCTCCCGAGTGCTGGGATTAAAGGCGTGCGCCACCACCGCCCGGCTCCATTCAGATTTTATATCATATGTGCTTTTCTTTTTTTACAATTTATCTTTCAGTGTTTGGTCCTTCAGAATCTCAGACCCCCAGGTGCTGTGTTGAAATGGAAATGACTCAACTTTCCTCAACACGAAAAGTCTTATTTTCCACTTAACCTCCTTATTTTCTCTTAGCCTCCAAAGAGTGAGAGAAACACACCAAAACAAGGCTACAATGATGGAAATAAAAAAGGGGTTACAAGGAAAACACACTGTTTGATGGAGACAGGAACTTCCCCAGGAAATGCTGACCTAATTTCTACCTCCATAGGTAAAGTGTAGGGCTCTTCTTTAAGAAGAGTAGGATGAATACCCATTGTGGTGCTTGACTTGAATGCCAACATTTGAAGAGGAAGATGGCTGTCCATGAGTTCAAGGCCAGCAGGGTCCACATTTGAGTTCCAGGCCACACAGGGCTACAGTGAGACCCTGTCTCAAAAACAAACTAGAGTAAGTCACATGTGATAACTCACGCTTGCAATGTCAACAACTTAGAAGAAGTGAGTATCAGAGAAGACTGACTCAAAGCCAACAGGAGTAGCAACAGCACCCTATGAGGTCTTTGACTCACTTCAGCCTCTGATGTGGGTTCCTTGGCCATCCTTCACTCCTGATGAGAAAACTAACTAGAGACACAACACAGGCCTCAAATGTAAATGCCTTAAAATGGAGCCAAGACTTCTACAGATAAGTGGTCCTGCTTTACCCCAGTGACACAGCCCAGGCCAAGGGAGCTGTAATCAGTAGTTTATAGTCATATCTCAGTGTTTACTGCTATCCAAAGAGCCCATGCCAGTTCCATCTACTCAAGACCCCAATTGAGAACCGGGGGATCTTTGACAACTGCACACTTTCTCACGAAGCTAATGAGAAAAGAACAAAGGGAGGGTGTGGTGGTATTTTACTTGTACTGAAATGTGATTTTAATTGTATGTTAATAAATAAAGTTGCCTGGGGGTCAGAGCTATTAGAGCCATAGCAAGTGCGTGGTGGCGGTGGCGCACGCCTTTAAGGACCTGGAGGGCGGTACATACAGGCAGTGACGAGGCAGTCACGTGTTTGGGTTTACAGCCAATGAGAAGGCAGAACAGCTAGACTATATAAAGACATACACACAGGAAGTAGGTCCCTTTCAGAGAGCTCTCTTGGCTGAAGAGGATCGCTGAATCAGGAAGGGTGAGGCTCTTAGCTCTGACCTCTTGGCTTTCTTCTCTGAATCGGCTCTGTGTTTCTTATTTAATAAGACGGTTGGTTATATCTACATTTGGCGCCCAACGTTAACCAATATAAGTCTCTGTGTTTACTTGGTCGGGTTTGAGTGGCTGTGGGACTGGCAGGTGAGAGAGATTTGTCCTGACTGTGGGCCAGGCAGGAAAACTCTAGCTACAGGAGGGCCATGCAGGACCCAGCCCTTTCTAACAGTGTTCTGATTCTGAGAGCGGCAAGGAGGTAATTGTTCTTTACTGACACAAGCCACAATCCTATTCTCAACCTTCCAGTTTGCTGTGCCTCCAGATTATTTTGAGGGGCTTCAGAGGAGACTCAGCAGTTAAGAGTGATTGCTGCATTTGCAACAGACCTGAGCTTGGTTCCTAGTACACACAAGCGCCTGTAACTTTAGCTCAAGCAGATCAAGTGCCCTCTATTAGCCTCCATAGGTAGCACACACACACACACACACACACACACACACACACACACACACACACACATTTAAAAATAAGAAGGTAACAGAGTTTGCTATTTTTGTTTTGTTTTGATTTTTTTAGGACAAGGTTTCTCTGTGTAGCCCTGGCTGTCGTGGAACTTGCTCTGTAGACCAGGCTGGCCTAGAACTCACAGAGATCCACCTGCCTCCACCTGCTGGGATTAAAGGCGTGTACCACCACTGCCCGGCAGAAGGTAACAAAGTATATCTCCTGTTCACTTTATAATTGCTCCAGCATTATCTGAGTAGCTATCTTATCATAAAACAATATTTCGGTGGATACATATGTAAGTAGGAAAAGTCAATAAATACTATAAATAGCCTCCCATCTATTTTGATTAGGTCTTGCAACCAAACAGTTGGCATCTAACCAAGAGAACACTCTTGCTTTTAAGAGAGTTTTTAGATTTGTAATTACAAACAATAAATTTGGATTTATGTTTGTATATATCCTCAATTCAAGAGCTGATTTACATTTTCAATACTAACTTCCTCAGGCAATTGGTGAAAATACAATGTTGTCCTGAGATATTCTTTTCATGTATAAAACATTATCTCTAATCAAATCATCACACTTCTTCGTGTCTGTCACATTCCTGGTAATTTTATTGTTATTTCTGGTTTTTATTCTCCTGCCTCAACCTCTGGAGTGCTGGGATTGCAAGCATACGCTCTCATGCTGTATTCCCACAGTGCCAGGGACAGAACCTGAGGAGTCTTGTCTGCTAGGCAGGCACTCTAGCAATGAGCTACAGCCCTCTTCATAAGCTTTTTGGGTTTAATCTTTTTTTTTTTTATTCTGAAGATTTTCTTGGTATTTGCTTGACCTTCAGGGGTTATCCATTAGCAAGCTTCTTTGAACTGCAAGCTTGAGAAACCAAGTCTGGCTTAAGTAGAAGAGACACAATGGGTGCCTGTGAAACTCAAGGGACCGTGGAAGGGCGGTGCTTGGAAATGGAGTGGAAAAGAGACTTTGAATGTGAGCTGTGGGGTAATTCTATCAAGACTTCTAACCTTGGTCTCTCAAAATTCCGAGATGGGTAAAGTCAAGCCCCCGGTGAGTGTGCGGGTGAGTGGAACCCTGTGTGCATTGCTTGTCTAGAAGACAGTGTGATAGCACATCCATCCTCCTTAGGAAATGGCATGGCTGCTGCAGGAATAGTGTATGCAGACCCAAGGGCAAAACAAAGCCTCACATAAAGCCTCACAGATTTCAAAATAGTTTCTGAATGCCATTCTTAATTCCTAGTCTTTTAAGAGATATGTGAAGTATTTTAATAGCACTAATTGATAGATGGATTGGTCTTTAAATTTTCTTGATTTCCAAAGGCAGATTAGGTACAGCCTTTTGCTTCCTCTCCACATCTCATCTTTCCCTTGAGCACGGTGACTGGTGATGTCTACCACTGTGGTTCATTTTGCTTTGTTACAACATGTGAGTTATTTTACTAAGGATGGCTTAAGGAATACTTATAACCAAGGCAACACAGGTGGAAGGAAGCCTAACAGTAGAAACCATATCATAATAAAGGATCCATCTGAAGCCCATAGAAAAGCCAAGCATGTGGACCAAGAAATGAAGAGTGTATATGAATGGTCTTTTCTCCCTCATTGACTGCTTAGAAAAATTGAAAGGATATTACAGCCCTCTGTAAAACTACATTTCACTAAGTGGCTTTTGGAATTGCAAGGAACAGTGTAGAAGGAACCTCTGGTGGGTGCTCACCATCTCAGCTTGAGTTTTATAAGACATACAGAGTTCTTACCTGATATCCATACTCTGTAAAAGGTAACAGCTCTGAATCCGTAAATGAGCTTAAGCTTCCATTGTAGGTTAACAATGGGCTGGACTTCTCAGGTTGAGTTGCTATTTGTCTTCTGTACAATTCAAAGTATATGATTTTTCCATTTGGCTCAAGTGGTTCTGCCCACCACACAGCTATTATGGGCTGGAATCCCCCTGCAGCTGTCTGCACCTCCAGATGTGGGGCTGGTTGCATCAGAGGTGGTACCTCTGTGGTCTGGGTCAATGCCCAGTCGCTGGAGGCACATCCCAGGGCATTGCAGGCTTGGACACGAATTTCATACCTATAGGAAACAAGGTAGACTCACAGATGATTCTTACATCTCTGGAACACATTTTTAAAAGACCACATGTTTTCAGAAGAGAAAGAAAAGGAGTTTATATTTATGAACAGCTAGCTTTTAAATAATGATGAAGTTTTGTTTTTATGGAAAGTTTTGAGCAGTTTCAATCTTCCAATTTGCAAACTCAAAGAAAGACCTTCATCTGTTTGGTTAATGGTAAGTTCTTGCCTAAAGAGGAATGTATGGAGTAAAGAAACTCCAGGTCTCCTCTTCAGCAAGAAAATTCTGGTATTATGAAAAGGTACTTAACACAGCAGTGAAGAACACAGCTTTGCATGTGACCCAGACTCCTTCTATCTGTGTAGGCAGAGCCACGCTACTCCCTGGGAATGCCTCTAGATTATGAAGGGGCATCACTGAGTTACGGTCTCTGTGGTAATGAATCTTCTCACCTGATTGCTGACATCTTGAAACAGGTTCCCTTAGCTCACACGAAGACCTCTGGGGGGCAAAGTTAACTCCCCTACACACTAGATTATCCATCACAGAGACACCTTATCCCTACCTAGTCAAGCTCTACTAATCAATTATGTTTTGTCTCATAGCTGGTTATCTGCCGTTTGGAAGGGCCTATTTCCATGGCCGAAACTTTGCCAGCTCAAAGGCCCCATGGTTAGTGCTGAGTGCCTCTGGCTGCCAGGAGGACTTGCTGCTCTCTTCCCATGCCCCATTGACTCCCTGGCCCAACCTGTCCCTCACACACATGGTTACCCTGCTTCCTCCTCTGGGGTCTAGCTGTGTCTTGCTCTTCACTGCTTCCTCTCCTCTTGTCCCTGCTTGCTGCTCTCCATAGCTTTCCGTTTTGCATTTTTGCCTTCTTAATTATGCTTTTCATTTCCTTTGTGACTTTGTGAATGTTAGCATGAACTGTCAGCCTGACAGGATCTGGAAACACCTAAGTGAAGAGCCTCTGGGCACACCTGCGAGGAATAATTAGCCTCTGGGCATTCCTATGCGGGATCATGTTGACTGCATTAACTGGAGTGGGAAGACCCATCCAGGAACAAGAGCAGGCAATGCCACTTCCTGGGCTTGGGGGGCCTAGAGTCAGCAAATGTGAGAAAGTGAGTTAAGCTTGGACACTCACCTCACCCTGCAACTTCACTTTGGATACCATGTGACCAACTGCCCTTGGCTCCTGCTCATGACTCCTCACCATGATGGACTCATCTGTGAACCCACAAAAGCCCTCCCCCCTTAAGTTGCTTTTGTCGGGGTGTTTTATCACAGCAACAGGAAATGTAACCAAAGCAGACTTTTTCCATTTCTTCCCTCTCTCCCCTCTCTTACACGTCTCTAGGCTGGCATTTGCCAGTTGATCAGTGAGCAGATCCACCAGTGCGTATGGTGGGTCAGACTGATAAGCAATGTTGTTGGTTTTGACTTCCCATGTAGGAACAATTTTTCTGGATTTTCTGTGGCTAGTTGTAAAGTCCTAGGTCAAGTGAGGGATGCAACTCGATTGGTAGAATGCTTATCTAGAATGGATGAAGAAGGCCTAGATTCAATCCCTAGCACCGCTTTATCTGAGCAGTTTTGTATGCCTGTAATCCCTGCACCGAGGAGGTGGGGGAAAGGAGCCCAGAAACTCAAGGCCAGCCCAGGCTGCACAAGACCTGTCTTAAACAAACAAACCAAGCTGGATGTGGTGGCACAAGCCTGTAATTCTAGCACTTGGAAAGTAGAGGCACGAGGATCAGGAGCCCATGATCATCCTTGATGATGTAGTGAGTTCTAGTCCATAGTGGGCTACATGAGACCCTTTCTTAAAACAACAACAAAAACAAACAAAGTCCTGAGCCACACTCTCTTTCTGGTTCTCAAAGATTCCCACACTGCTTCCTACTGACCAGCTGGGGGGTGCTCAAAGATGAATACACTAATTTTCATTGTGTCTAGTAAGTATCAATATGATTTGAAACCCACAAAGACAAAATGGACAAGGAATCAAATGATATAGCTTTGATACTCTGATATATTTCACCAGTGTCAAGGTTTAGCTGTTAGATAGGATGCTGCCTCTCCATGCATCCTTAAGTGTCCTTGCTAGTCCTTGCTAGGACTGCCGCATCAATTTTTTTTCTCCTTCTCTAGAAAGAGTGTTACTTTGACATCTGGGAAGCCATTTTCTCCAGAAATCCTTTGAGATATCATGGCTCAGAGCAGGGCAGGATGGGTATGATTTTAATACTTGTGTTCTGGTCATGTAAAGAGGAAGCCCTGACAAAATGCAGAGCTCCACCCCAACATAGGCTTTTAAAATGTCCTCAGTAGTGGGAGATAAAAGCCAACTCACATAGCATGTAGATTAGCTGTGGAGAATACCTGAAGAGCTTTTAATTACTGTTTAATATTTAATATGATTCTAAATAATTGTCCTGAGTAGATGCATAAGACCATGAATGCTTCATTCTAACAGCGCGATACACCAGAGATAATCGTAGCCCTGTCTAATCTGCACACAGGGACATCATAATTATAGTCGAATTTTACCTGCGGTGGCTGGACATCAACACTTGGGCAGACTTCAATTTTTTATTTTAAATAAGTGTTTCTATTCATTTTACTAAATTTCACCCACAAAATGTCTTTTATTACTTTCTCTGGAGGATGTCAGGTACCTGAAATGGGATGAGGGAAAGTGCTCAGAAGTTCGGAAGCTACCGGAAGAGTGTTGGTGTAGAGCACCTCCATGTAGGTCATAGAAGCCAGGCAGAATCTAGGATGGCACATATAAGCAAAGTGATACCATCTGGCCAGTCAGGAGTTCAAAACAGAGGGAGCTCTGCAGCCTGTGGCGGACACAGAACCCAAAGCCTCCGTTATCCCAGGAAGAGGTGTTAGATTTGAATGAAGGAGAGCTAGCCTCTAGACAGATGCTGGGCCAGTATACTTCTGGCTGATAGATTTTAGTTGTCTGTATGAATGTGTGTGTGTGTGTGTGTGTGTGTGTGTGTGTGTGTGTGTGTGTGTGTGTGTGTGTGTATGTGTGTGTGTGTGTGTGTGTGTGTGTGTTTGGAAACTAGAGGGTGGCCCAAGGTGCTCAGTCACTTTCCACACTTTTTTTTTCCTTTGGAAAACGGTCTCTTTTGAATCTGGAGCTCACTGACTCAACTAGTCTGTCTAGCTGGTTTGGTTACCTGAGGGGTTTGCCTCCACCCCTCATGTGCCCTACCAGATGTGAGGTTACAGGAACAAGCCCATCTGTGTGTGTGTGTGTGTGCGCTAGGGATCTGGCCCAGGTCCCCCTGCTGGGGTGGCAAGCACTTCGCCGACTGAACCATCTCTCCAGCCCTCCTTGCAGCTTTATGACGACTGTTCAGGGCCTGCAACTCAGATCAGGGGGTCGGCCCCATCTCTTCATGACCTCCTCTAGGTGACAAACTCCCCAAATTCCTGGGAAACTGGCATCAGACTGGCATGTGTAATAGTTCTGTTCTTCAGAGACTGTGAACGCCTGCTGTGGTTAAATGAGAATGGGACCTGTCTACTGTCGATGCTGATGCTCAGGAGCTGGCATATGCATCTTGCCCTGGGAGCCTCGCTGGCATGGACAGAGCACGACACAAAGGACAATGACTTGCTTCCAGAAAGCCCAGCTTGTCTCCTTACCTGTGAAATGGCTTCAGGTGCTTTACTGTGAGTGACCGTGTATCAAAAGAACTGTGTGTTGTATTAATGCACATCGTTCGGATTTCCTTTTCAAACAGCTCACGGATGAAGAGGGTGTAATTGATGATCTCACCGTTTGTCCTCACTGGAGCATCCCAATCCACTAAGATTTCAAGAGCATCCCCGGGATGTAGCTTTGGAGGCTCTAAGCCTGAGGGGGCTGAGGGACTGGTTTGATCCTTGACAAGCGGGCTCAAGGCACGTCCCTGACTGTTGGTGGCAGTCACCGAGTAGCCATATTCTACACCTGGGGTAAGGGTAAAATCATGGTAGCGAGTTTCCAGCCCTGTATACACAATGGCTCCATCTCTCCGAAGCTCGTAACTTCTGATCTGGCCGTGTGGCTTTCTTGGAGGTTTCCATGTAATTTCTATTGATTCTGAGCCTGTGACTTGCAGTATTGGGGGGTCCATGTTCTCTGGTGGGGCCTCCATTGTCCGAGTAGATACAGTCTGACTAGCAGTGCATCCTCCATTTGTACAGGCTACGAGGGAGATACTGTATTGAGTAAAAGGCTGCAGGTTGGAAACCAGAAAGGACAGGCCCTGCCCAGCCATGTACTCCTGACCGTTACATCTAAGCAAATACTTAGCAATCTTTCCATTTTGCATTGATGGCGGGGACCAAGACACGTTTATCTGGCTAGCACCGATGGCCCAAAGAACTGGAGGGCTGACTCCTGATGGAGGTGCTTCAGGAGTGGTGATGGCGTTGGTTCTGCTGGTATGGCAGCCACCACTGGTGCAGGCGAGAACTGCATAACTGTACGTTGAAAAGGGAAGCAGCTGGCTGTCGGTGTAGTTGAAGGTGCTGGCGTTGAAACTGAGAGGATGGGACACTCCATTCCTTTGAAGTCTGTAGGACTGGATAATGCCGTTCGAGTGTTGGGGTGGGATCCAGGAAATCAGCAGTTTGGGGGGATTCATAGACACATAGGATATTTCAGGTGGGGAAAGGCCCTCTGGGGGTGCTTGCAATGACCTTACCCCAGTCCAAGAGCTACAGGTGTGCCCTGCAGAATTCCAAGTGCAGATTCTATAAGCATATCGCCTCCATGGCTGTAGACCTGTGTCATTATACACCCAAGAGTCCCTTCCTGTGTTGTGTTCCGTGAAAACAATGTTCCCATTCACCTGAGTTGTCCCATTCCCCCAATCCTCTCTTTCCAAGGAGCTTCGAACCACCTCATAACGAATTATCTTCCCATTCGGGTTAGCTGGCTGAGACCAGTTTAGCCTTACACTGGTGGACTCCACAGCCTGGATGGTAGGAGCCAACTGAGAATCTGGAGGGGCTTCCTCTGTCCAGAGAGGCTGGGGCACTGAGTGAGCACAGCCTGCTGCTGTGCAGGCCTCCAGGGTCAGAGTGTAGAGGGTGAAGGGGGCCAAGCGCCTGAAGAGAAACTGTCGACCCAGGCCAGAATACTCCAGGAGCCCATCGCTGAAGATGTTGTATGCCTGCAGGATGAAGAGAAGAAGAGGATGTCAGTAGTGTGGGGTTCTTGGTATAGCTGTCTAAAGCAGTCACACCTGCCTGCCTGAACCCAGTGGTCCTAATCCATTAGCATTCAAATGCTGACTTTAGAAGTGGGATCTGCCATAGTTAGTGTAAAGTCCACAGAAAACTTTAAAAGGTTGGATAAAATCTAAGCATTGACCCAAACCTCAGGCCAGGGAATGCTATGGCTCACACAGCCCTCATGAGGTTTGAACAGCAGGAAGAACATTCAAATATCCTATTTATAGACACTCCACGCTTCTGATCTCATCCTGACTAGGGTACTTGGGGTGTATCTGAACAATCTGCCTTCTTCTGAGCTCCCTGTGAAATGGAATGATATTGCTAGTCGTCCTTGTTACAGGACGCTATGGCTGAATATTTGCATCTCTATGTATATGTATGTGTTTGTGTGCAGGCTCACATCATGTTATGTAACTGTATGCATACATAGTCACATGTGTATTTATAATACATGGACACATATTTACATAGTTTTAATAACAAAATGGGAGAGGGAAATGCTTTGTTTTCTCTTTGAAGTCATAGAAGAGTTGATTGTGGTGTTTGCCCTTGGTCTGCGCAAATCATATGTGCTCATCACACGGAGAATCTTAACCTCCATAGCACACATTTGTAGTTACATGGAGCCAACAAATACCATTGGGTTGGTCTAACTTTGACCTTTGTCTGTAAATTATCAAGCTAGGTAATTATCAAGTAGTAACCCTATTTTTCCCCTTTGCATTTGCTCTCTCATTGTCCAAAGTAATTATTTTATATCGTATCCTTTCTCTACTACCTGCCAACAAGCTTTTCTCTCCCTTGAGTTGGTTGTTGACACTCCCACATACTCCATTGAGAAGCAGATGAAGTTAGAAAGGCATGCTCTCATAGTACATATTATTGCCATGACATGTTTTACTTTCTTGTGCACCCCCGAGTCTTCTACTCCAATCAACCTCTGGAACATACTCCTGTAAATATTAATGTAATACTGTAAGTATCTCAGCTTCCAGGTTTAGGTACAATCTTGTGAGAAGACATATTGGAACAGCCATTTTCTCGGCTTTCAGTTTGGTATTCATGTGAGATGACTTTTGGTCCACTATAGGCTAATTTAAGTGTTCAAGAGAATAATTAAGGTAGGCAAGGTCAAACTCTGGTACTAGGGAGGTTGTGTGTTCAGTATACATTTTCACTTCGATAATATTTTCAACTAACCATGGGTTTCTTTGGATGTGTCCCAGGGTAAGCCGAAGAGTATCTGTGGTCATCTTGGCTTCGGTCCTCATGACTGAAGTATCTATGCCCAATTACAGGCCACTCATGCCGTCCATCCCCTCCTTTTCTGAGGACTCTACTCCTGTAATTATTCCTATTATCTCCCTCCCTCTCTGGCGATTTCCATTAGGGTTTCAGTGTGCTCTAGTATCTCATTGATTTTGACATAAAAGTCTCAGCACCCCAATCTCCTGGCTACCGTCCCACTTCCCCGCTCTCCTTCCCACCTAAGTTTCGTCAGGGAGCTGCCACCGTCCCTTTCTCGGTCACTGTCTTTTCCAGAAGCCACTCGGCTCAGGTGACTTCGTCAAGCACGTGAGCTTACTGCCAAGGTTCCAGTGACCTTGCTCTTCCCCAGTCCAGGTCCACGTCTCCATTCTCATATCACTTACCATCTCAATACCGTCCAGCCTCTTTTCTCCTCACGTGTGGCATGCACTGCTCACCTGCCCTTCCCTCAACATCTTTCATCTCATTTCCTTCTCCCCTGACTACTTTTCCTCTTCATGACCTCCAGATTCCTGGCACCCTAGGGCTTGATCCCAGGATCTCCTCATCACTGGCTACATTCTCTCCATGGTGATTCTGTCCATCACCAAGGTTTTAAACACAGCTGCCCGCTAATGGGCTGTGGATACATAGCTCATCGGCATCTTCTTGTGGCGTTTTGAACTTGGACTCACTGTCTACTTGTCCCTCAAACCCGCTCCTCTTCCAACTTTCCCTTCCCAATTAGCTAACACCTCAGGGCCAAAACCCAGAAGGCAATCTGAAGAGTCACCACCTCTCTTTCCTTCATGCCTCATATCTGGCCCATTAACAAAAATCTCATCACTACCTTCTACATACATTTCCAACAGCCCCATATTTCTTGACTTCATAATGTCCACTCAGATTTGAACCATCTCATTTGAATTCTACCCTGAATTCTCCAATAGGCTCTAAATTCTACTAGCCTCTCCCAGGTCAGGAGTGTGCAGCCAGAGTGAGAAGTTTGATTAAAGCCTTCAGTAATGTTTCATTGAACCCTGAACAATCTCCCTGCTCCTTGTCACAGCCCACAAGGTTGGGGCCACCCTGCCTCCAGTCTCCCTTGGTGCCATCTTTTCCTCCTTCTCAAGGCTTCATCCACACAGGCTTTCTTCCATTTCCTTGAGCACACCAAGGTCATCCGTGCCTTAGGGCCTTGCGTTTGCTGTTCATTTTGTCTGGAACATTTTGCCCCCATATCTTCACATGACTGCCTCTGTCTTGTCATCCAGGGCTCAGCTCAAATGTCAACTCAATTCAAATGATTATCCATTTTAAAATAGCCTGAGCAGGCATAATTACATGACTCTATTTAATTTTCTTTATAGCATCCATGGCTCTCTGAAATTCCCTTGCTGTTTATTTACCAGCTTACTGTTTGTGCCTCTGTCCCTCTTTGACTCAACACTCTCCCTGCATTTATTCATACCCATGGAAGGGCCTTGACAGCAGGAGCCTTTTCCGTCTTGTTCTCTCTTGAATAAGTACATGGCACTTAGTAGAAGCTCAATAAATATTTGGTGAAATGCAGACGAAGGGAAGGGGAGTCAATATTCCTCCTGTCAATCATTCTCAGGAGAAGCTGTCTCTAGGAGGGGCGATAAACACAGAGAGAGCTTTGATGTGTGGAGGGGGAAGCTCTGGTGCCTGGGAGGGCCTGAGAGCTGAGATTCAGGATTTAAGGTTGGGGATTTAGGCCTCTTGCCCTGGAGGAGGGTTTGTCTGATGCCTGTTGGTGGGATGTGGCTTGCCTCTGAGTCTCTGTTCTTGGCTGCAGGGCCTCCAGTTAAGCTGAGAGGCAGCCCAGAGAAAGCTCAGGAGGTTGGAGCTGGCTCCGGAGCCCTGAGCTATGGATGTTATTTCCTGTCTCATTCTTCTTACAGGGCTGAGGAGGTGAAGTTTAGTCTTAACTGTTCCATGTGGACTTGGCACAGGCATCCCCAGCATCTGGGGAGAATGATAGGAGCAGGCAGTGGCTACAGCAGCTGGAGCTGGGGATTCTGTCATCCTGACCTGTGGAGGGACTGAAGAGGGAAAGCCAAAGGGAAGAAGTGGAGGATGAGTCGCTGCCAGCCCTGGGAAGAACATGAAAAGATGTGGGTCTGCCTCATGTGGGTAAGGGTTTACAGCTTCCAAGTGTGGGCTGTTTGTGGGAGTGCTATCTCCTTTACACCCCCAGGTTGGTGAGGCTAGGCTTTACATGTGACATTGAAAGACTAGTTTTCATGGCTATGTGTGAGAGTCAAGGAGTTAGGAGACAGATCCATCTTCCTTAGTGAATCAGGTAAGGCTTAAGGAAATAACCTAAAGTAGGCAGCTGAGGAGGCAGGAAGGTCAGGGTCATCCAGAGTTCAGAGCTTTGGGGACATCTTGGCTTCAAATCCCACCCCATCTTTGGCAATATCTCCTGAAGCATCTACTTAACCTTTATGAGCCTCATGAAGTTTAGTGGGCCCCACCTAGTGGGGTTGATGTGTGGATTAAATGAGGTAATCTTAGCACACTGCTGGGCCCGTAACAGGTCCCCTCCCCAGCTGTTCTTCACTGATCTAGGCTGAAGTGCCTAGAGGAGCCATCAAGGAGAATTAAACCAGCTTCCCAGTGACCTGATGGCATGTCAGAGCGCATCTGTTTATCTGGAAGATGACCCGTGTGATTTCCCATGCAGGATGGACTCTACCTTGATCACTCCATTGGTTCTCACTGGCTCCGACCACTGGAGCAGCAAAGCCCGGCCATTATCCCTCTGGTCCACTGTAAAGTTGATCAGTCCACTTGGGGAAGATTCTAAAGTTTTAATCAGAGTCCAGGGGCTTGACACTTGTCCTGCACTGTTCACAGCGACCACACCCATGTGGTATGTTGTGAATGGTTCTAACCCAAAAAGATGGGCTTCATGGCTTGTTCCCTGTAAGAAAGTTGGCAAATTAGGTATCCTTTAGAAATCAATAGAAGGTTATTCTCTGGACTGCATGGCTGTGTCAGGACACATGGCATTAACAATGGCATAGATACACAGCAAAGGTTTGAACTCGTGTTGAGGAGACAGTGAGTGTTCTTTCTGCTTGCTCTTGTCCATACTGAATACATCAACTAATGCAATGGTTCTCAACTTCTCACAACCCTGTTAGGGGTGGGGTCAAACAACCCTTTCACAGGGGTCAATATCAGATATTTACATGATGGTTCATAACAGTAGCAAAGTTACAGTTATGAAGTAGCAATGAAATAATTTTATGGTTGGGGTCACCACCACATGGGGAACTACATTAAAGGGTCGCAGCATTAGGAAGGTTGGGAACCACTGAACTAATGAATGATTTCAGACATGTGAAAAAGTTGTATCAGATGGGACCTGTGGATTTTCAGAGCTTGAAACCTACAAATTGTGGTGCCCATGATGAGAACACATTTTGCTTAATGAAGATCAGTGGCCCCAACTTGCATCTTAGCAACTGTGGAGAAGTGGCCAGCAGGTTAATCGGAAGGCTTTGTGAGACTTAGCAGGAACAATCCTAAACCTCTAATCTGCAATGCTACTTATTTATACATGAGACCCTCCACTCCCCAGCCTGTCCCACTCAATGTGTGGCTGTGCATTTATATCTTATAAATTTGATAAAACAAACACAAGAAAACAGCAATGAACCCATTGAACTATAAATGTACAAACACCCTCGGAGAAGCCTGTTATTAATGTAAATGTGAAATTATTCCTATTTGTTAGAAGCAGCGTAACTAAAACCATGAAGTGCACCCAAAGTGACTGTTATCTGGGCTTTGAGAATTTCGCCTTTGTTGATCTAAAAGAAGAAAGGGATAGCAGAATTACTTTTGTTTGTTTGTTTGTTTCTGGCTCACAGAGAGACATTTAACATATTTTGCATAACTTAACTGGAGCTAAGAATCTTAACATTCTGAGAGGCCCTGGGGTGCTCTTGCCAATCTGGGCTGGATGGATATGTCTGTTTAAGGTAAGAATTATGCCTGCAGCAGGGGTAGCAACATATGCATGAGTAAACACACACACACACACACACACACACACACACACACACACACACACACACAGGTTTTGAGAGGGGGTATTTTTATTGTGGACCATAACCACTGAATATGAACAATCATGACTAAGTTTTGACTGAGTGATATTTACTTGTAATGATTGGGTTTATTAAATGTTTAAATGTGACATTGGTAGTCTACCAAGTGTTTCTTTTTCTTGATGGGCCAAGGTAGGGAGAGGAAGTTATTTCCCAGGGTAGGTGGCTAAGTACATAGGCACAGTTATGAGGAAGGAATTCTCCTTAATTTGGAATTTTCCAAACATCATTTTGGATGAAGGTGAAAAACATACACAACCAAATGACTGTAGACATATTTTTGATTCTTTTCTCACATTCTTGGTTTTAAGTTTTTGACTGAGCTATCTCTCTTATTCTGTGAGAAACCTGAGCAGAGGAAATACAATTTCCTTTATGGATCTGAGACTCGTGAAGTCAATTTTCCTGTTTCAGTACGTCCCATTATGATATTATACGCTAACCTCCTGAAATCTTTTAATATTTAAACATTTGCTAAGCGGCCAGACTCTGAAACAAATTTTACAGAAATATTAATTTCTCTTTTTTAAAATATTAAAAGTTAGATCATGAATATTTAAAAACTTATTTCTCCACAACATTGGATTGGTCTTTTAGATAAATACAGCATAGAACCAGGATGACCACAATGAATATTAAATCCGACGATGCTTCCAATCCTGATTACAAACAGTCTTTTCTGACAAATGATTTCTTTTCTCTGGAAATAGGGCAAACATGGGTAAGATTAATAATGCAAAAAAGAATAATTCTTTGTTCAGAAGATTTGGTAATAGATGCCAATAAAAGCAGAGGCCCCAAAGTGAACTGGAATCACCTCTAACAGATTATGGATGAGAAAGTGGGCTGCTGGGGCACACTTAGAGACAGTTTTTGTCACAAGAAACTGGAAAAGCATGTGGGCTATAAAGCAAAACCATATGTATATTGTCAATAGTGGCACCTGCTCCATTACGGTTTATTTCCTAGCAGAGACTTCCGTTCAGCCCCTAGATGGCAATCCTATCAAACACTTTTCGTAACATGAGTACTTAATGATTAACAGCCGGCTGTTCTATCTTCCAACACACTCCCGGCAACCATTAAAAAAATAACAGAACTGATTTCATTATAGATTCCTTTAATAAACATTTATGGCTCAGATCCTTGAAAGCGAAAGTCTTCAAAATGCCCCCGCCTCAAAACCTCCACCATCGAATGTAGAAATACAGCCTGTGTGTCTCAAGTTCAAGCTCCTGCATGCCTGGCACAGATGTTTCCAGGTGTGGTCCTGTAAAGGGCGATTTTAATAGTGTTTTTCTTAATCTGGCTTACATTTACCTTACATTATATGAATACAACCACATTTTACTAAAGAACAGGTCTTTTGCTCTTTGTTGTTTCTGCAGAGCCCCCCCTTCACTCTTCTCGTTTTCCCTCATGTTTTCCAGGTTTTATATTCACCCCCTCCCCACTTTTCTCCTTTTCCTCTTTGGATGTTTTCAACTGGGCATTTTTCTCTCCTCCCCTTTTTTTTTTTTTTTTAATTTTCATTATTGTATCCTCTTCCACTTCATGATCCTCTCCTATTATTTTAATCATTAAACTTAAACTTTGTATTTGTTGTTTGAGGCCGGGTTTCATGTATCCAAGGCTGGCTTTGGATTTGCTGTGTAACAGAGAATGACCTTGAACCTTAAATTCTGTGCCCCCCTCCCACGTTTGAGTGATGGGATTACCAGCAGGCGCCGTCACACTCACTTTCATGTGGTGCCGGGTTGAACCCTCGACTTCCTGTATGTAAGGTAAGCTCTCTACCGTTTGGGTGACAACCCATCCCTGGTGCTTCTTTTGAGCTCCATATATTGTATACTCACCTCTGGGTTATCAATTCACACTCCTGTCCCCTCTTCCTAGCCCACCCTTGTCTACACTGGTAACCTTTCCACAGTCTTTATTATCGAAGTTTATCTGCTTTTCTGACACAGCAGATGAAGAGAGAATCTCAGTAAAAGAAGGTGGGAAGAATTTTTTACTGGAACGAACCCTCATCTGATCGCCCCACCTAATAGTTCCGATGAGATGCAGCCTCTTTTACTTTTTAAAATTTATATGCAGACATGTCAGAGCTGGGATACAAATCAGTGTGTCATTTATGAGGCATAAAGACAGGACCCTCTGGAATGCTTGGCCAGTGAAGGTTCTGCTGCCAATTTGAACTACATTTTAACCTCTCAACTCTGCTCTTGTGGACACGTGAAACTACTTGGAGTCTTCAGCACTCTGACAATTTTACACCATCTCCTCTGATTATTTTTGACGACTTGAAATGCCCCAAAGGTGGCCAAGGGGTCAATAGGTTTGTGTAGGTTGAAAATGATCAAAAATTACCATTGATCTGTAGCTGTCAATAAAAGGCTGCATGGGGATAGTCCCTGCACAAATGTTTAAACTGCAGAAAGCAACCCAACTTAGTCACCTTTGAGTCTATTGATCTGATGATCCAGCAGTTTCCAGAGCTTTCCCTCTGGTCTTTGTGGTGCATTTTCACTAAGCCCATCTACCTCAGCCGTAAGGAGCTTCTTGAGGCTCCTCGCAGTAATGAAGCCAATGTGGTGAGGCTCGGGGGCTGCTATGCCCATCAAGGAGTATTATGTGCGCTTACTGCAATTTGGAAAAGGGCTAATCTTCGTGGGCACCATTCACTTCATCCCAGTCAATGGGATTTCTTCTGCTTTTGCCTTTTATTTGTTATTCTCACTTTCCTTGACTCCTTATCCTAAAGTGGATCAGTTCTGGCTTATACATACAGACCAGTTGAGGGGGGCGTTCCTTCACCTCTCAGTTCCCATACATGCAAAATCCCAGAGAAAAAGTGACTTTGAAAGGGCTGGGGAGAACGCTCTGTTGGAAGTATGTGCTGTGTCAGCATGAGGACCTGGGTTCAACCCTAGCACTACAGAAAGTGCTGTGTGGGGAGGTGCATGTGCATATTCCCAGGGCTGGGGAGTTGGAGACAAGAAGATCCCTGGACTTGCTGTCCAGCCAGCCTAACTGAATCTGTTAGCTCCAAGTTCAGTGATAGACCCTGCCTCAGAAAAGAAGGTGGAGCATAATCAAAGTAGATACCCTATGTTGACCTCTGGCTTCAACACACATGATCACACATGTACATCCACACACACGTGAGGCACAAAGAGAATTTCAGACCAGCCCATACTAAAACATGTCGACTTCATAGATTCTTTCTCAGCCACATTTTTTTTCTCATTATGACAAACTTAAGGAAAAGCTATGGATGGGAGCTTGAGTCTCAGACTAAGAAGACAAAAGCATGAGAAGCTATCTGGGGTCCCCTGTACTATTTCCTAAAGACTTGGGTTTAGAGGGAACAGCTGCGGTCAACTGAATGCCTTTTCTATGCTCTGACGCTCACAAAATATTTATCCAGTTTTCTTAAGCCCAGATAATCTGATTTGTCAGTTTTGTGGGACCTTTTTTTTTTCTTTTTCTTTTCCATTTAGAAAAGTAACATTTGAGTTCCTCAAAGGTTGATTAACATATTTGCATCTAGTATTTATTTTGCATGAGTGAAATCAGTCTTAAGAGATGATGTCTTTACCACTCATTAGCAACATCTCAACCTTGGATAATTAAACTAAGACTTCCAAGGCTGAGAAGTGGCAACTTTATCAGGAAATTTCTACTGGTTTCACACACACATCAACGTCATCACAGCCTCCTCTGCTCTGTGAAGGCAGGAGAAGACATTTATGGATGTTGTTCCACATGCATGCAGAACTGTTGTAAATCAAAGATCAATTCA